TATCATTTCAAATATATATTTTATAATTACTTGACATCATATTGATCAAATTATAGTGTGTTTTATAGGGAATCGTTTGGTATTTGTTAGTAAAAAACTAAACATAAAGATCTATTTGGTTATTTTAAACATTAAAACGATCCTAAACATTTTCATTTCCTTTTGAATTTCTATGGTTTTATTCCCGAATAAGTGATGTGCAAATGGCGAATTGTAGTCGTTTCTTTTCTTTCACTATTTTTTATTTTCAAATAGAAAGTTTAAAAGTAAAGAATAATTAGAATTTGCCATGGGTCGGTCAAACAGGCTGAATTTCAAGTTTTGGCCCGTTTGTTTTATGCATTGCAAATTTATTAGCATGTTGAGGAAAATGACTTGAAATAAAGACATATAAGTTGTACCTTTGCAGAAATGTCCTCAAATGCTTTGTGAATCAGGTTCCGTGACTTTTGTGATGGTGTATGTGCTTGACGATTGCTTAATGTTGTAACTACTTAATTTGAGAGTAAATCTTTTGATTTTCCCTATGAGTTGTGATACCAGTTCTGGTGGTTGCAGCATGTTGTCGTTGTTGGCCTGTAAAAGTTGTTCCGCCGTGATGCTAAATACCTTTCTTTCCTTTTTAACAAATTGTGTAGTAGTGCTTAGGAAACAGACCACCCATGAACGCTACGCTTATTATGGTATGTTCTTACTTCCGGTGGTGAGAAATTGTGAATTGAGAATCATATTCGCCTACCGCACTGTGTCTGGCTGGTGGCTGCTTACTGTGCTCTCTAGAGTTATGAAACAGACTACCCATGAACGTTACTCTTAAGAGTCCATAACTTTGCGAAAAAACAAATTTAGGCAATCAAAGGTGGTGGATGTGTGATGATTTTTTATGGCTTAATTGTTTGTGAATTGGATATCTGATCTTTGTATGATTAGAGGGGATGTTTGCTTAATAGAATGATCCATTTTAATTCATGTTTATTTTTAACATGAACTTTAGTAACTCAAAACCTTCGAGACACATATCACCTACTGCATTGTATCATTTTGCCTGGGTGCTTGCTGTGTTGTCAAACTTCTTTGCTGCTGCTGCATTTACACTAACAGGGGAGTTAAGAACCGATGAATGTTTCCGTTTGACACAAACAAGAGGACTTACTTCTAAATCGTGCATTAAAGATGATTGGAGGAAACATCTTTGTTGCAGTTGATATACTGGAGACCATAACAAAAGCAACGTATAACATCAAAACCAACCATCTGAACTATTAACATTGTTGCTTTACTCTTTTTTCGTGGTTGAGTCTCCTTCAAAAAATTTAGTTTGATTTTAGAAAATTTTGCTTCTGCAGTCCTGTCTTGCCACCAACGCGTTCAGTAGATGGAGATGGCAGAGGCGAAGGCTATTTTTGTGTTGTTGTTGTTGGTTTAGGGATCGGTTTGTGAAGAAGAGGGGAAAGAGAGGGGGAAAGGGAAATGCAGGAGAGGGGGATAACTCTTTTCTCCGACAAAAATGGAGTGAAGAAAGAAATTATGATCAGTAAGGATATGGTTATCTTACATAACGGTCTCTATTCTGTTTGAATTGAGCTTGGGAGGCAGTGATAAGGACGAGCTGCAACCAATTCATAGTGATAAGAGTGCTATGAACTAGGGCTGGCTATTTGGTCCGGACTGTTTGGTTTTACCCTAAACCGGACCGTAAAACCCGGACCGAGACCGTACTGGGACCGGATAGCAAACAATCCAATCTCATATTCGGACTTAGATTTAAGTTAAAAAACCCGGATAAAGACCGGATAAGAGACCCCAACACTCAAATCCCCACAAGCTCAATCTAAAATCAAGATCAAATTGGGACCGGACCGGGTCAAGACCGGTCCGGATCAAGACCGGACTGTGTCCAATCCAATCTTTGGTCCTTATATTTCCGAAAAGACCGGACTGGGACCGGATCAATTTGGTCCAATTTAATCGGACCGGACCGTATAGCCACCCCTACTATGAACTGTGATCATGTCTTATTTCAAGTTAGAAGGTAGTTTCAGTATAAGGATTATTTAATTTGACAAGTTGTTTCGTCCATGATTCTTGGTAGTTTCAGTGCCATTCTAGCCATTGTTTAGTCTGTAATTTTTGAGAATTGATGTACGAGTAATGACTTTCACTTAGCTTCAACTATTATGTGTGTATTTATTGGCATGTGATAGAATTCTCTTTTCCTTTTCTTTGAATTCAGTTTCATACTCTAATTGTATCATTTGTACATAGGCAAATCATGCTCGAGATGACAACTCGCTGATATGGCTGGTGCAAGGAATAAAGCCATCATTAGAATTCAGATCGACAACGGGGAGGGATGCCCAGGACTAATTCAATGATGATTGATGATGGTATAATAAAAACTGCAGTCTGCATCAGCACCAATTTCTAGGCCTAAGTGAAGTTATTCGACCCAGAACTCTGCTTAGCGCTAAAAATTGCCCTCACCCAACCTTGATCCTGTTTGACCCACTTCTGAAGAGTCAAGATATATGACTAATCCTCTCCGTTCGTATTTTCTTATTAACTCTTTCTGACCCTTTAGGTTGGGGCGGGTCGGGAAGAATCGAATTAGTGGGTCGGTCCTAATCAAGTGGAATTCCAATACCTTCACTCTCACTTACTTTCTCTCCCATTCCACAAGTGGGTAACATGCAGTAATCCGGCCAACGGGCCGGGTAATAAGCTAGTCTCTTTATATACTAGTCCACGGCCCGGCCCGTTGGCCGGGTTTTTGGCCGGATACGTTTTGGGTTGTATCACTGCAATCCGTTGCAAAGGGGTTGCTATAGTTATGCCGGAAGAATCTAATGTAGACGTGAATTTGCGAAAAAAGCAAGGTGTTTGGAATGTAAAAGTTAATTAAATATTACAGTGCGTAGGTAAAAGTGATTTCTATCTAAACATTGCAATAAGAAGTATGTGAGATTTGTTGCCCACGAAACAGGCATGATGAGCCTTGACCATGAAACTAAATGGTTCTCCTTTGATAGAATTGAGCTCCTCTTCGAAGTGTGTTGCCCAATACGGTTCGTCGTTCGCCTTGATTATGGCATGGCCTATGGTTCTGAAATTACATGATATGAATGAGACGGGACACTTTGCAGAATGATCGGAAATGTCCAGGTGGACAATGTACTGCTTTCTATTTGGTGTCCACACGACTTTGAGATCGGAGATATAACCAAGAACAAAGTAGTGCGTTCCCTGCATGAGATTGAAATCCTACGTGTTCAATGATGCATATTTATTCCCATAATAATAAGAGCGAACCAGCAAGAACAAAATGGTGGGGACATATATCAATATAATTTTGCAAAATAAATAGAGGGTGGTGAAATGGGTACCAGATTCATTTCAGATTGCTGAAATAAGTTCAGCTCTTCAACTGTGCAGGTTTGAGCAATGTATTTTGCATCTTCATAGGAGTAGTTCCTTTGTAATATAAGACTTGTTCTCGAGCTGACATCAAGATGAAGATTTGACATGGGTTTGAACACAAACAACATGTAATATGAATGTAATAGTTGGTCAAAAGTTTGCTCTTACGGGTTCAACAATGGGTGTAATTTTGGATAGTTGATGTTGAAATATGACTTAGAGGCATGTGAGGTAGCAAAATAATAGCCATCTATCATTAAGACATTGAAGTCAATAAATAGGTTTGTGAAAAAGGAGGATCTGAAGTTAAAAGGCATATGTATTAGGAGGTTTATATATCCATTACCGTTGCCTCTCTCTGTGTAAACAGAGGTGAATATGCATACCATACGCTGTTGTGGATCGTCGCCAACTACCGCCTGGAAGAGATCAATCAAGGGTTCCCTGAGTACAGTTTTAATTATGGGTCCCCTGTAGTAGAAACAATACTTATGTAAGTTGGTATATCAATGGGTGGCATTGCAATATTATTCGAAAGAGTCGGAGCACAGGACTGACTCAATTAGTTTTAGATGGACGGTTTGACTCCGTGTGTATTGCAAGCCGTCGGAGAGTTCGTAAACTGGTTCAGCATGATGGACTTCACCGACTACATCTAACGACTGCCGATGAAAGCAATGCGTGAGAAAAATGCATACGGGAAGATAATCTGAAGAAAATAGGGTGTATTTGACAATAATAAAATGACATTATTCAAAGAAAGCCAACGGCCATCCGCAAAATGTTTATTTTATATACTCGCTGTCTTCTGTTAACAATCTCTTTATATATTCTCTGTTGGATGAGTGAGTGGCCTGACAATTCCTTAACTCTCACGTTTATTTCATTTGCTACAAGTCTACAACTGATTCCACACAGGAGCATGCCAATAAATAAATAAATAAAAACGAATCTCACAACAAAATATTCACAAATGAACTGTGCTGGTTGTGTTCTTAATTTTTTACTTATGTTGATGAAAGGATGTTATTGGTCGTCAATTTGAGAGGAAAAATGGGGAAGAAGGGGCTGAAACAATGAGGGGAAGAGAGGGAGAAACAACGAAAGGGGAAACTAGTGATGACAATGTGGAGGGGCGGGTAACTTAAAACTCATGCACCACCACACACTATTGTAGGTACTCATGTCCCGCTCCACGCTATTGTGGGTCGAGGCGAGTAAAACCCGCGTGATACGGGGTGTGACCGGTCGACCCACTCTTACATGTTATTTGAAAAAAAATACACATAAATTTTGTTTTTTTATGATAAAACGAAGGGAGAAACAGTTTATGAATGAAAAATAGTGATAATATAATGGGTAATTGAGTCTAACAAGTTGAAAGATAGACTCTAACTAGTTAAAGAAAACTCAAAATAGGAGAAATATATATAGATACCATAAGAAATTGAGATAAAATGGGTCATGAACGGGACGGGCATTGCGGCTCGAAAGTAGATATCTATGCCCCGTCCCACGCTACTGCGAGTTGGGTAATACCCATCCCATCGCAAGTCAGGTCGGATAATACATGCGGAGTGGGTTCAAATTGCCATCACTAGAAGGAATGCCATTTGTCACAAAGAATCAAACACACGATTTTACCATAGGAAGTGTGCCAACTCACCAGTTAGACTGGCCCTCATTCACAATTTGTGGACTTTGTCGTTCTTCTTAGTCACGGGAGTGCTAATGAAAATTACATCAATAATCTTACCGCTATTACAACCAAAATAACTAGCACGCTAGATCTACTTGAGAAATGTCGAGAACCAGTCACTTGCTCCTCGACTTTATTCTCCATCTTCTTGCATTTAGGTTTTCTATAGTTGGGTAAGGTTTTACATCATAACTGGAGGAAGAGAGAGGCACCATACCTATACCTTGACTTGACGAATACATGAGAGGGCCATACCATCTACTCCATTTCTTCCAACAGCTTAGTTACTCGGTTAGTTGGCCCATCCTCTGACTTCCACCTCATCAATTCTCAATTCCACATCATCCACAAATAACTTCTTCTGGCTAAGAGCATGGTCCCTGTGGGAGCCAACCTATGGAAGAGAGGCCAACTGTTATTGATACATGGATTATAAGTTAAATCTCTCCTTTGCTAACACAGCTCCACAACAGGTTGAACTTGCCCTAGTCCAACCTTTGGACTAGCCAACAAACCGTTTCAAAATGTTGTGAACAGATCTGCTGACTTTGATACCTTCCATTATCTGAAGCTTGAATGGTGCACAGGATGGTAACATTTCACAGTCCCCACCAACCCAAGAGCTAGCCCTAGTGCTTCCACCAGAAGCTCGGGATGATCCTCGATGGAGCTGGGACCCTGCTGTGATGGCATGGAGCTCAGCACTCTTCCTACAATCTGGAGTCATATGTAGAGCTAAGAGAGGAAGATTTTTCAATGCGGCAAACGTTGAATCGATGAAAAAAGGGAAATGCAACCGACCTTTCGGGCGTACCCACCATAAGCAACACCACCAATGAAAGCGCTGGAAGGTGAAGCAAGGACTGATCTCACATCGTTTGAGTTCTCTGGGGGGGGGGGGGGGGGGGGGCAGAAAAACCAGGCATTTGAACAAATTCAAGATGTAATTAACAGAGAGAAGCTTGGAAATGGGGAAAGAGTGAAAAACACACACTACCGATACCTAAGGTTGTCTGGAACAGCCCTTCCTTTCTCAGTCCATCTGCCGTGTGAGCATTTGTTCCTCCAGCCAATTGAAGGAAACCTGGCATCAAAATATCATTAGCGAGTCATGTGGTTCAGGAGATGTTGTGATACATTGAATGTGTATAAATCATCCATGGAATGTAAAATCCATATAATTTGATAGTAATGAAATAGTAGACATTCCATCGTTCCGATGCATTTATTATAAGAGAAAAATTGACTCATGGAATATAGTTAAAGTGGATTTTGGCCCTTATTCATTGGAATTTAACCCACATTCCATCAACCATGCCGCTCCTAAGAATTAAGCCGCCAATCTAGTTAGAATAGCTCTAAATTTGCACATTTAAATTGGTCAGCAAAAAGAAAAAAAGAACTACCAAGAGGCCTGTCTTTAGCAACAGCCAATCGAACAGCGAATGCAATAGATTCCCTAGTGGCCCCTCGTCCAATATCTCCACTCATTGGGCGTCCATCCAGCTTTGTACCATTACAAGAAATACACGATAGAGATGTTAACACAGTAAGTGGTAAGCATAAAGAAATTAAGAAACCATCTATAATAGAATTATTCAGTGTTTCAACAGACCTGCCATAAGTTAAGGCATTTTAGATGAGGCTCCATGATAGAATGCATTTCATTCATTACAGACATAGCTGACTCGCCGGTATAAGGCAAGCTAATCTGCAGGGCAATCGGTATCAAATGCAGGATGCACTCAGTCAATCACAATCTGCCACCAAATATTTCCTTGTAACCAAATCAGTCAGATCAAATACTTACAGCTACTAGCTTCAGGCATTCAGTTGAGTTTCTTAAACCATCCCATAGCTCCTTGAAAGGAGCAGTTTGCCTACAGACATCACAAAGGTTAATCACATTATATATGTCACAATGAGCACTTCTACTATGCTATATAGCATCGGTGCTTTAATGTACAACTTAAAGTTGTACCATAACATTAAATGTATAAGTTTAGGTTGTACCATGAAGGAATTTGTATCATTATGTTATGGTACAACTTTACAACTTAAAGTTGTACCATCAAATAAAAATACAAGTTCAAGTTGTACCATAAAAGAATTTGTACAGAATATATAGGTACAATCTGAAGTTGTACCATAACGTTAAAGGTACAATTTCATATTGTACCATAAAGGGAAAAAAACTATAGCACCAATACTATATAGCATTGTAAAATTCCTCATGTCACAATAGTTTTTTTTTTTTTACTTCCATAAGCTAAAAATTAAGAATCAAATCCTGCCTTCCGCTTGTATGTATCTCAATGGCATCGACATCACTTCGCCTCAAGAGTTCAGAAGTAGTAGCAGAATCTCTTATATACGTCACCTCTCCTATTCCAAATCAAACAAGTGCTAACATTAATGCTGTCAGAGTATTCAAGGATCTAAGATTCGCCTATGAAGAAATGATCAGCAAAATGGAACCAGAAAGAGGCAAACAAAAGACGACTCACTGATTTTGTCGTATGGGCACACTGGGAAGCAACGACCACAGCCATAACAACGCTCAGTTATGACTCCACTATGATCATCTAACTTAATTGCATTTGCAGGACACACAAGCTCGCATGGCCTCGAGCAATCCATCGGACAATCGTCCGGATCAAACTCTGCAATAACTGATGGATGAGCAAGGAATCTCCTCTAAAGAAGTCGTGTTGAACTTGTTAGGACAGATTCCTTCGTCCACATTACAGACTAATGAAAACCTCAAAGCAAACTTGTCGAATGGAGCTTTTAAAGCCCACTGAGAGCCTATGACAAAGGTCCATAAAGGGTTCCAAGCAAGAGCATACAGTTCTTCTATTACTCAAACATAACACTTGGACCCGTCTATGTAACTTCATCTCTCCAAAATTCTCTCTACGCCTCTTGAAGGTTGCAATAGAACACCTGAACATTCTCCTAATTGGAATTTTCGGTTACTTCTTTTCTCATTCTCAAACTCTAAATGAAATTCGGAGCAAGTCTCCCAACCTTTTCCCCTAAGTTAAGAAGTTTTTGAAACACTCTTTGCACCTACCAGCTTTACGAAAATGCAGATCATCATCATCGTTGACACTTATCATAACCCATGGCCTCCGAAGCTCCACAACCTCCATCGCAGCGTCGATTCCTTCGTTAACAGCACTCACCACCGCAGCATCAGCAGCACAATCAATGCAATCGACTGAGGAAAACGAGAAAACCATTCCAATTGACACATCAACGATCAACCCTAGAATTAGAAACCTGCTGAGAAGTCGTTAACAGAGTCCTCACCTCCAGCTAAGGTGTAAACCATGGATAGATTCCTGATATCCACAACATCCTAGTATAAAAAAAAATGATGACTACCATTGTGAGTAAAAACCGAAAGGGATTGTGGGTATTTGAGAGAAAAGAAGTTCAGAAGAGCTATGGAAACCTCAAAGCTTGCACCACAGATGAGCTTGACCCAGTTTCCCTTTTGCAACGACTCGTGCGGAGAAGTCGCGAGGGAAAGAACCCTGGATGTTTTGACGAGGTTTCTGGCATTCTCGATTCCTTTAGCAGTCTTTCTGTTGTTGAACTTCGATTCCTCTGAAACGGAAGCGGAAAGAGATGAAGCGCCATGGAAGGGTGTAGGGAAGCAAGCAGCAGTAGCCGAAGCAAGGAAGCAGAGGAACCTTGATTTGGAGGGAAAATTGTGGCGCTAATGGAGAAGCTCAGCGCCATTTCCGTTTCAGACAGCCGTCAATTGGAGGGAGAGGAAGAAACTCCTGGGAGCCAGTTGGTGGATTATCCGATGGAATTTCGTTTTCGAGTGTATTTGGGCCGAGTAGGCTTCATTGTAAAACCTCTATGTTGGGCTTTATTGAATGCAGTTACAGGGCGGAAATACAGGCGGCCTGTGGGCCGTCATAAGGAAACTTCGAAACCCACACGAATAACGACAACTTCTAATGTGACGAAATACCGGGATTTAAAAGCGCGGCAGTTCTGTGGTGCCCGTAAGGCACCAGTGCCGTCTAGGAATGGCAATGGGCAAGTTCGGGGCGGGTTTTTTGCTATCCAGACTCGTTCCGTGGCAGGTCGGGTCCAGATCGGGTAATTGATCACGGGTCGCGGGTCGGGGCAGGTCGACCCAATGGGTATGCAATTTATATGAAAATATTAGAAATATTCTTTATTTTTGTTATAAGACTAAGAAAACAAACAATATTATAACAATTGTAGTTAAATTATTGGAAAAATTGAGGTTTTTACTAATTTACAACTTTATTATAGCCAAAATATGAAGCAATAAAAGGAAAATTCTAAGTAATTTGACTAAGATTATATGTAATTTAGACAAGAACGGGCCGAGAATGGGGCGGGTCAGGGCAGGTCGGTTCGATGAGACTACCCATGCCCGCCCCGCCTACAGGGCGGGTCGGACCCGCACCAAAACAGGTCAAACAGGTCGGGTAAAACTGGTCAGTTCGAAATTGCCATCCCTAGTGCCGTCACTATTTATGACCGGTTTAATCAAGTATATGGTTCGGGAAGATGGTTTGTTTATAATTACCGGGTGAAATTAACTAATAAAACAATTTGATTAACTAATAAATCAAATCTTTAGCTTCGGCAATTCTCTCAGCCGCCTGCTCTGGGACCTTCGAACTCCGCCTTCTAATCGCACCAGCAACCAACAATCCACCACCATTATCGATGTTTCCGCCGGTCGACCAACACCACTAAGAAATCGCAATTCTCATCAGTAGAAATTGTTTCCGGAAAGTCTCAAAAGAAATCACCATCTTCATCACCCCCGAGGTCGCTACCTGGTCATCGCCTCGTCTCTGCCGCGGCAATCCGCTAATCGACCATCATCAACCAGAATCCCGTCAATCAAAATCACCACCGTCAAACCGTCATCAGCCCTATTGCCGCCGCCGGTCATCGCCAACGTCGTCTCAACCGTCGCAATCCACCAGCATCGTCGCCGTTGCCGCTGGTCGGCCATCACCAACCCCCGGTAGCCGAAATCGGCGACATGATGATGATGATATGTAGATTCTTATTCTACCGGATTTTGTCTACTGCCGGGGGAAAAAAAGACAATGAAGGCAATTGTTGTACGTAGCTTCAACGAACGGAGTTAAAAGGGAATGAGTACATCTCCATTGCCTGCATGATGATGCATTGATGCTGCTACAAGAAATTGGCCATATAATACAAAAATCCCACTAAGAAAACACTTCATGATGATGCAGACTACAGGAATTGTGATCAGGTTGTGGTGGAGAAGATGGATTTGCTTTTTCCAATAGACAGTCGATTAGGGGGCGCGTTCTATTTTAGAACGCCCATGTCAATTTTAGGGGTTTTTTTGCTCTCGATAAATATAATAGGTTCAACCGGTTTGGTTAGGTTTTGGTTGTTAATCAACGGTCTCCATTAAACACAATAAATCCAACAGTTAAAAAACAGCCGGCATTAATGCCGTGACTGTACCATAGAATCCGCGTTAAAAGCGATATACTAGGTTATAACGAAATATTGACTCTGAGCTCAAGGACCGGCAAACGGCAAATAGGAAATAGCACTATAGCAGCGCGTATAAAACAATCGCTTCGGATTCCTGCTCTCCGGTCACCGGCAGTTTAGACCACGGTGGGCCGGTGGCCAATGGTTAGCCTCAGCTTAACTAAAAATCCTCCCATACTTCTTGCTCAGCACCTACATAATTGAAATTTTCTTGGCCTCCCCAAGGTTGTCAAACCGGTTTATACCGTTGTGCCGGTTTGGCAAGTGGAATGGTACGATCGGTGGTATAACCAGTCTGTGCCGGTTCATGCCGGTTTAAAAAAATGTGAAAACAATTAATATCCAATGTATTTAATCATATATAAAACATATTTGTAGACAATTTAGTTACAATCCAACAAATATCATCAACTTTTAACTATTACATTCATAAAATGAATAATAAATTAACTTTTGTATTCATTAAATTTATTAAAATGATGTCATTTTATTTAGAATACGTAAGTCGATCATACCGATCATACCGATGGTGTCATGCCTATTTCATGACTGACACAAGTTAAACCAGGTTCAACCGGGTGGCATGCCACCGGCATGACAACCATGGCCTCCCCGCAAAGCAAGGAAGGACGTATGAGTCCCTTTGCATCTCAATTATCGGTGAGCTATTATGGGCAACACACAACTGGGCATAACTTGGGCTTTCCTTTTCCACAGCCCACCAAATTATAGAACTTATAATTACAAAAATCAACATAATTAATGCACCATTAGTTTACTTTGACATAAACGTATGATTTCTTTTACCATTGTAATACGTGCTTATACATAAAATATAAATAAATAAATAAACACGATTCTATCAGACTACAAAACGAGAGTTTCAAATGCATGTAACATGTATACATGTATTATATGGATATTAAGAAAATTTTCACTAACTATTTTGGCGTTAATCCGTATGCATGCAATTATATCATATAAAAAATGAAGTTTCATATAGTTTTCAATTTAACAATTCAAGAATATGATCATTTTTCACTCGGAGATAAACTTATATGTTTAGCTCGAATTGAAAAGATTTTGGTCTAAAATTTAATTTCTAATATCATTATAAGAAAAAAAATTGATAATTGCCTGCAAATTTCCAAAACATTTATTAGCAAATTTGAGCCTCTAGGGATTTCAGATTGTAATAAGTATAAATATTTTTAAACTTAGGTACTCGGTAACAAACAATTACAAATTATGGAAAAAATTATTTATGAAGTTCGAATCATCTATGAATTTCCTAACACGCATAGTTAGCAAATACTTCGTTGAGTACACGTATATGTACTCATACATATTTTGTCTGTTTAAAACTTATGTATCCTTATTATTATCAAGCCGTTTTTTTTCTCGTTCATTTGATAGCGTCTGTATTGAACACGTATTAAACCTATATAACACATTTAATATTCGTATTTAATGAATTAAATTGTTAATTTACTATTATATATATTTATTTTAAAATTTATTAATTATGTATTTATATTTATGACTATTAACGTACTATTAAACGTAACATTAGTTTAGAGACGAAGTAAAACACCTGTACGTATTCTATCTGTAACTTTTCTATACCGTATTTTACTAACTATGCTAACAAGTGGCAAACCAGCTTACATGTATAACCTTTGATTTTAAAAACACTTGGTCTTATTAAAGTTCTAAGTTTCAATTCGAGTAGAAGAGATGTGTTGTGAAAATAAATATATAAAGTAGAATTGTTGCTCAATTCACTAAATTCTTACTAAGGCTATTAATACTATGCATCTTAAATGATTTCATTTTATTTTGATTATAACAAATGAGATCAAGCTCCTATAGTAAATTCAGGAATAGTTCCGACTAAAGTTTATATTGCTCTTCTAAATAATGAATCTCAATTATTAGTATTTTTCATATTCAGTATCCAACTTTAATTGAGAATACTACCCAATCAATTACTAACATTTTGCATATTTAGGATCCAACTCGAATCGTGAATACTACCAAATATGAGTTTGTTGTCTTGGATCATAAAGAAGTCAGGATTTCTTAGAATTACTGTTGAAAAGCTATTCGAAAATAGTGGAAGAATGATACCTCTTCTCCCATATGTGTTATTAAATGAAGGAATGAACTATTTCCAAAAGTAAGGCTGGAAGAAAGAATGAAGTTCAATTTTCACATCAAGTTTAGTGATTACGTCACAAATTCCATAACCAAATTAACATTTTTGAACATAATTTTATTGATGAAAAAATGAATCTCCAACAACAGTCGAGGCAAATTCTTTTGTTGTGAAGCACATACCAATGATGAATATAGTGGAGTTGATGATGGAGATTGTTGATGGTTAAGAGGTGAAGCCTATTATTTTGGAACACTTATATGCATACTTTCAACAAGAATCTATATAGATGGCTCTTATTACAATCTTAGTAATTTTTATGATGGATGCACGTTTTCTCTTTTCCTGAATGAGCACTTTTACTATGTTTTAAAGAACAACTTGAAGTTGTACCATAACGTTAAAAGTACACATTGAAGTTGTATCATAAGAGAATTTGACTTTTATGTTATGATACAACTTGATGTACAACTAGCTTGCTGTTTGGTAAAATTGATATCATTATTTGTTAATTCGCATAACATTAATATATAATCATAACAGGAATATAAGAGAAGTGGAAATGACTAAACTTTAAAACTTTGTTAATGTGACGATAAAACAACCGGCCAAACGGGCCGGGTACAATCTAGTGTTTTACAGTCAGATTAAGCTTGAGGACCGCTCTGAGATTAGCCACATCTATAAACGCCGTCTCCATAATCCCAAACCCTTCCACGAACCTGAAAAACCCCGTCCCTGAAACAATCCCAAATTCCCTCTCCTTCCTCACGAAAATATCCGACCCTTGGATCTCCAGCGTGCTCCCGGCGAACTGGCCGCCGGTGAAAATCACCGAAAAGAACAAGTACAATCCCTTCCCGTCGAATTGGGAATTTATGTAAGACCCCTGTGCCCTGCCGATTTCCTTAGACTCTGCCGTGGGCCCCTCCGTCACGGGATCGTCCACGACTGCGATTGTCCCGAATTGGAGGATGTTGAAGCCGCCGGCAGCATCGGCGGCGGGTTTCTGTTTGCCGGCGACGGTGATTGAGGAGGCGTCGGCGCCGGTGAAGTAGTTGTGGACGTAAACTACGAGGTTCGTGATTTTGATGGGCGGGTCGGGTTTCGGGTAGGTGGAGGCGATGTAGAGGACGGAGAGGGTTAG